GCAGTTTGAGTTAGCATGGATGAGAAAGAAACCATTGTTGATTACCTTGGTAAATTTTAAGAACATGTGAATGTAATGAGGATCTGCAAAGACACGACCACTGATTAGCGGGTTGTTGATAAGATTCTAAGAACATTGTCGCAGAGATTTGATCATTTTGTAGTGACAATTGAAGAAACGAAAGACTTGGAGGAGATGAAGGTAGAAGCTTTGCAACATTCTTGAAGAACATGGGTTTAGGATTAATGAGAGGAGACATAATCAAGAGCGGACTCTTCAAGTTAGAGCAGTCCAAAAGAGGAAAACATAACACCTCAAAAAGAAAACGTTTAAAATGAAAAAACAAGATGATAAAACATGTGATAGTTTCAATAACAAAAAAGATCATAAGAAGCAACAGAACAACTCTAATGATGATAAGAATGAAAGTTTAACAAGAATCTGGTGGTGACTATACTCCCCTCAATTATGATTACAAAGGAAGTTTGTAAAGAATGCATTCAATGCAAGCAGGTCAGACCAAAGTTCAAAAGATTTGTGGCTGACAAAGCAATTGAGAAGTTTGGTATGGTGTACTCTGACATTTGCGGACCAATGCAGGTTGAAACCCCTGGTAAAAATAGGTATATTGTTACTTTTATAGATGATCTTACAAAGAAAATGTGGGTTTATTTGTTGAGAAGGAAAAATAAAGTGTTGTCTGTGTTTTAGAAGTTTAAAAGAATGGTTGAAAGAAAGGCAGAGTGAAAACAAGATAAAGGTGTTGTGGTCTAATGATAGAAGTAAATATATCTCAGCCGAATTCGGTCTTTTGTGAGAATGAAGACATCATCCATGAGTTTACTTCATTATACACTCCTCAATATAATGGTATTGTTGAGCGTAGAAACTGAACTTTGCTGAATATGATCCATTGCGTGTTGAAAAGCAAGTCTTTGCCAAGTTATTTTTTGTGGAGAAGTAGTTATCACAACTACACATGTGTTGAACAAGTCTCCCACCAATCGTTTAGAGATGATGACACCTGAAGAGGCTTGAGCAGGTGTCAAGCCTTATGCAACACACCTTAAGATATCTAGTCCAGTATGTTATAAGCATGTGACTGAGCAGTTGAGAAAGAAACTTGACGATAAAAACACACCACAAATTCTGGTTGGTTATCATGTGATAGGTAGATACAAATTATTTGACCCCAACTCAACACAGGTGTCAATTAGTAGGGATGCCTTTGTTAATGAGTCAACTAACTAGACATGAACATCCACCAAAGAGAATTCAAAAGCTTTCAAAGTGTTATTTGAAGATGAAAATCCAGTGAAACAAAACAAACTTGTTGGTCATGGTGTGAGAAAATCATCCAGAGTTACACAACTCCCATCTCATCTTTGTGATTATGAAGTGTTTAATGACTCAATTATGTAAGCACAGAGAAATTTAGTGCATTAGAGTTTGAACCAATCATGTTCGAAGAAGTGAGTAGAGAGGTTCATTGGTGAAAAGTTATGCATGAGGAGATTGATTTAATTGAAAGGAATCAGACAAGAGGTCAATCACACTCAAGTGGGTTTATAAGATTAAAGTAAATCCAAAGGGTGAGATTATAAGATATAAATCAAGGCTTGTAGCCAAAGGCTTCTTGCAGAGAACTAGAATAGACTATGGTGAAATCTATAAGCCTGTTGTTATGATTGAAACCATCAGGGTTGCTATTGTCTCGAATGCTAACTGGTTCTTACACTAGTTAGATGTTGAATCAATTTTTCTGAATGACCCTCTTGAAGAAAATATTTATGTGCAGCAACCTAGAAAGTGTATAGGCTGAAAAATGTCTTATATGGTCTTAAGCAAGCACCGATAGCATGGAACAGGCATATTGATGATTTTCTTGACAAAATTGGCTTTGTTAAGTGTATGTCCGAACATGGAATCAATGTAAAAGTCTAGGAGAACAACACTTGAAAAAAAATCATCATATACTTGTATGTTGATGATCTTTTGATCACTGACAACAATAAAAAGTTGATAACTTATTGCAAGAATAAACTTCTAAAGGAGTTTAAGATCAGTAACTTAGGAAATCTGAGTTATTTCTTGGGTATTGAGTTCAAGCAAACTCCATATGGGATGGTTATGCATTAAACAAAGTATGATTGTGATATGCTAAAGACATTTGAAATGCAACAAAGTAATCCTGCCAACACACCTACAGAAGTAGGATTGACACTTGAGAAAAATCCTAACAAAGAGGGGGTTGATCCTACACAATACCGAAACATTGTTGGAAGCCTAAGGTATTTGTGTAACACTAGACCGGATTTGAATTTCAGTGTTGGATTGGTGAGTAGATATATGCAAGAACCAAAATTATCACACCTTCTTGTTATAAAACGCATACTTAGGTACCTACATGGAACTGAAAATCTGGGAATTTCACTGTCAAAAAGGAATGATGAGTTGATGGGGAATTCTGATGCGAATTAGTGTGGTGACAAGAGTGATAGAAAGAGAATGGTTGAGTACATGTTCTTCCTTGTAGAGACACCAATTTCTTGGAGCTCTACAAAGGAACCAGTGGTGGATCTCTCATCCTGTGAGGCTGAGTATATAGTTGTCTCTAAAGCAGCTTGTCAAGCAATTTGACTAAGTTCACTGATGGAGGAATTGAAGGTAAAACAAACATGTAAATTGAAGTTGTTGATTGATAAAAAATTTATAATAGATCTTGCCAAGTATTCAACCTCTCATGGTAGAAACAAACACATTAAGACTAGATTTCACTTCATCTATGAGCAAGTTTCAAATGGAAACTGAAGGTTGGACATTGCAAGTTTGAGATACAACTTGCTGATATTTTGACCAAAGTTTTGAAATTTGAAAGATTCAAAAGTCTTAAAAAACAAATTGATGTTGTTGATGTATTTCCTTTGATTTGACGAGGAGTGTAAGTTAGTCAAACAAAAATTGTCTATATTAGATATTTTTGTGTTTTTCTTTTATTATTAGTAGTTACATTATTATCTTATATATAAATACATTTTTTGTCATTCAATAGGATTATTGAGGCATTATCCATATCACTAACACGGTTGTCTTTGGATTGTTTTTTGTTATCAATTTGCTTGTTTATGTGTGATAAATCAATGTATTGTTATATTGGAATTAATAACAATTAATAAAATTAATTATTATTATTTTTCTCACAATTTACTTAATATAATTATTAAATTGTTTTTGTTGGACTAGTTTGAGCTCTTACTTAGGTTTATGTTTATTGCAAATCAAATTTATACTTTTCGTTTGATATTTAGTGTTTGGGTTGCCCTTAAGTTTATCATAAATCATTATAGACCAACTATTTTATTATTCAATTAAACTTTATTTTATCAAGAGTTAGGTTGAAATTCTAGATTAAGTATTTAATTTAAGTTTGTGATAATTGGGTGAATTCATCAAACATTAAACACCGCTTTCATTTCCTATACTATAATTATTGTCAACCTTAAAATATATTTGTGTATAATTAGTGTTATTAAAATTTAAGCTAAATAATTTAGTACTTTATATTATTTTTTTTAGTTTTATGTATATGTATATTTTTTAATAGAAAATTATAAGAATCAAATATAACAAAAATGTGTTTTTAACTTAAACCTAAAAGTCTATTTTATTAAATTATTATAAGTTGGATTTAATTCTAATGAATTTGGATCCAGATAATGTAAATTAAATAATTTCATTCTAGTAATATAATAATTATTTTATATATGAGATTCGGGATTCATAATTTTTTAGTAAGATTTTTTATATTAATTTTAATTATCCAATGTTAATTATATATAAAAAAAGGATGTTATAAGATTCACGTCAAAGAACCTTTTTAATCTTGAGACAAAGTAAAAAAACTTAGACACCGAATGCACAATATTTGGATCATACGTATACCATATTGTACGGATTGAACATTTAGTCTTTACCATTTGTGTTGTTGTTTTTTTCTCTCGTTAAAAATTATTTTTTATTCTTTTTATATAAATTATTATTTTTAACTTTATGCACATATAATTTTGTAATAGTTAAATATTGATATTTTTGTTATATATATATATATTTTTTTTTCTTTTTTTTTAAATAAGTATCCGTTTAGAGTTATGAAAAACCTTATGCCTGAAAAAAATATAAATATTGTTTAATTCTTTTGATCCCATTTTCTTTGTTTGTATCTTCAATGTATCCCAATATTAAGTCAAAACATAAATGTGTATTATTGATGATATCCAAAAGCAATATTTACGATGTTACGAGTTATAATTTATAATGGAAAAAAAATTCTTATTTAATTTTTGTTGATTTTTTTTATATTTATAAATTAATTATAAATGTTTTTTTTAATTTTGTGTCAGTCAAGAACTATCACAAGATATTAAGTATAAAAAGAATAAATAATATTATTTTAATAAAAGCTTTTTTCTTTCAATAATTTATTCAAAATGTTACCTAATTATTAGAGACTAAAGAATTGACACGAGAAAAGTGAAATAATATTAAAATTCTAAAAATTATATAATTGTAAGTATTTTTATTGATTTGATTATAAGTGTTTTGTACTATAAATCTACAGAGTAAGAATTCTAAAACCATTGGATTAACCCTTCCTCTATCCTGTAAAAACCAAAACCTAACAGAAGGTAGAAAACTACAAACTTTGATTAAAGAAAAAAGGACTATTCTTTTCTTTTTCTTTTCTTTTTTTTGTTCATATGATGAAGAGAACCGCATATGCATTGGAGAAGCTTCTGACACCCGTGAAGCCACTCACCCAAAAGATCTCTGACACTATTCAGTGGAGAAAAAAAAGAGAGAGAGAGAGAGAGAGTGAAAGAGTTAGTATTCAAAAACGAAGAAGCTCTTTCCTCCATCACCCTCAAAAACCATTCCCATCTCAAACTCTAACCCTCTTATCCCACAATCAATCCTCACCCAATACAACACTGAAACTCAAAATGGTGTCTCTCACACTCTCTTCCCCTCACATTCACCTTTTTCTCATTTTCTCACTTTTCGTAACCTCTTTCGTTACAGAATCAGCCACGCATTGGGGTGACACGCAGGTTCTGAAGGAACTAAAGGACAACCTCGAGCCTGCTTCGGTCACTCCTGGCTCCTGCGTCTACTCATGGGACTTCTCCTTTGACCCCTGCGACAACCTTTTCGGCGACAAGTTCACGTGCGGCTTCAGGTGCGACGCTTTCGTTTCGGGAACAAGTCGACTCACCGAACTCACACTCGACCCCGCTGGTTACACCGGTTCACTCTCCGCCACGTGGAACCTCCCCTACCTTGAAACTCTCGACGTCTCAAACAACTTCTTCTCCGGCCAAATCCCCGACTCACTCTCCAACCTTACTCGGTTAACTCGACTCGGTTTATCGAAAAACTCGCTTACCGGAACTATACCCTCTTCTTTATCCTCCCTCACAAACCTCCAAGAGCTTTACCTCGACAACAATAACCTCCAAGGACCAATTCCCGTTAGCTTTAACGCCCTCACAAACCTTAAACGCCTCGAAATGCAGTCCAACAAGCTAAACGGTGTTGTTCCGAGTTTGAGCTCTCTGAAGAATCTTTTCCACTTGGACCTCAGCTTCAACCTTTTCACCGGAGGGTTACCCTCCGCGTTGCCGGAATCTCTGCTTCAGATTTCAATGCGGAACAACAGCTTAAGCGGCGCGTTGGAACCCGAATCTCTGAGGAACTTGAACTACTTGGAAGTGATGGATTTGAGTGGCAACAGGCTCAGCGGTGCCGTGCCGTTTGCGCTATTCGAACTTCCCTCCTTGCAGCAAGTGACGCTATCTTTCAACGAGTTCTCGCACATGGAAGCGCCTTCTCACGCTTTGGAAATGCGGAGCGGGGTCATAGCGGTTGATCTGAGTAACAATGAGCTTGGGGGGTTTCTGCCGTTGTTCCTGGCATTGATGCCGAATCTTTCGTCATTGTCGTTGGAGAACAACAAGTTCGGGGGAATGATTCCGATCCAGTACGCGTTGAAGACGGCTTTCCCCGAAGCTGGGGTTGCTCCGTTGGAGAGGCTTCTGTTGGGGGGTAATTACTTGTTCGGAGGTATTCCGAGTCCTCTAATGGCGCTTGAACCGGGTTCTGCCAATGTGAGACTTGTCGATAATTGCTTGTATAGGTGTCCTCTTACGTTCTTCTTCTGTCAGGGAGGGGAACAAAAGTCTTTGGAAGAATGTAAGAGATTCAGCCACTTCATTCCCTAGATCATGCCCTTCATGTACATTTTAATATCTTAACTTTCTCTTCTCTTTCACACTCTTTCTTCAACTCCTACGGGGTGAAATTTTTTCCAGCTTCTTCCATCTTTTTTTTTATGTTTTGTTCAATTATTTTATTGATTACATTTTGATCTATTCAATACTACGCCGAAATAATTTAGAGTTTAATGACTAATTTATTTAACCAATGAATATTATTAATAGTATAACAAATACAGATTAATAACTAGATATTTTGTCAATAGATTTTAAAATAAATAAAAAATATAAATTTTAGTAATTAATATATTTGAAAATGATATATATGTTTTTTCTTTTATAATTAGTAGAAGAATATATTATTTTTTTAATCTAAAATCATAAATAGTAATTTTTCATATTTGACAAAAAAAAAAGAACTGTTGTGTCATTATTATATACAGTGGTGCTACAAAATATTCTAATTTTAAAAACAATAAAATGCACTCAAGTAAAAATGGAAGAAAAATGTTTGAAAATACAACTTTGAAAACGCTAATATACATTTTCGAATTCTAAGATTTTAGAACAGAAAACGAAGAAGAAATTTCTGGAAATAAAGAGGAATTTTTAAATATGCACTAAATTTTGTAACATGTCAAACAGAAAGATAATTAATTAAAAGTGTTCTTCCTCTTTAAAATATGTTGAAAGGAAAAATATAATTTTCCGCTTTTGGTGTTGATTACTAGAATAAAAAATATGATTTAATGGTAGCAATCTTGTTTTTAATATTAAAAAAAATGGTGGTCTCTTGAAGGAAGACTACTGAGTGAGGTGAGAAGGGAGACTAATGGAGGGTGTTCACTGTCTTGTTTTTTGGGTTCAAGTTTAAGATGACGGTGGTATGCGGCATGATTTTGCGTCTTTTATGACACTCGAACGTTTAAGCATGTGACCGTGTCAGACAGAGACAAGCACGTTCGGGCATGTCCAAAATAATGAGTGGAGTTGTCTGGCCCACTGTCAGATTGTGGTGGGCTCTGTTTTGGGCTAACTGTCTGATGGTGTTTCCACATTTTGGCCAACTACCAACTGCCCCACCATCCTGAGTATTTTGGATCAAAGCCCAAACAGTATGTAAGGATTCATTTTGGCAAAGTTATGTGTAACACCGGCAATTAATGATTCCTTGGTCTCTCTAGTTTAAAGAGAGACAGATAAAGAGTAAAAGTGGGGAAGACTAAAGAATTTCTGTGGTTAATATTGCTGAATAGTTTGAAACATACCACATATGGTGTAAACTTATTACCAATGTCAAACCTTGGTAGGAATTTGCTTGACATGTCTACTCCTTCTTTGAAGGGAAGGTGAGTTTGAGATAACATGCCAAAATTGGAATTTGAGAGTAGTTGGAAGGTTATTCAATATAATTAAATTACATAGCTAGTCATTATGTCCCCTTCTTTCTAGTCCATGAGAAAGATAAGGGTGGGTTTAAGACGAGTTACATATCTCTTCCGTTAAATGACGGACAACACGCCAATGAATTAGTCTATTAATATTTTTTATATATATATTTTTTAAAAATATATCTATAATTATATGAATAATTTTTAAATTTTTATTTATTAATTAGTATTTTTATTAAATAAATTTAAAAAATATTATATTTGTGTCAAAATAATTAATTATAATCAATAATTTAGATTTAATTAATTAATTATTTGTTATAACTTAAATTTTAATATTATAATATATTTATATATTTTAATAATATACATAACACACAAAATATAATTAAAATAATATAATATTTTTAATTATAATTTTTTTTATTTTAATTTTAATATATAAATATTTTTTTTAAATGGACTAGTCTATCATGTATTGTCCTTAATCTGTTGAGTTGATGTGTTAGACGAGACATGTCAAAATGGGTTGATGAGCTAAAATTACAAACTCGTTCCCTCATATTTTAGATGGATTGACGAGTCGATTTGTCGACCTAATCTATTTTCTCATTCCTAAATATAATGTAAGTTTTATTTATTGAATGTGTTTTAAAAAATTTAAAACTTTTTTGAAAATATTTTAATAAAATAAAAAAAATGTTTTTTAAAATAAAAAAATAAAATTAATAAAAATCTTTTTTAATAATATTTTTGCTTTTATTCATAATTACTACATCTTTTGCTTTAAAGATATCAAAATTATTTTTAAATATTTTTATAAATTTTCATTAACATGGATTTCATTTTCTCTTTGTGTAAAATAATTATAAAATCAGAATTAGTAAACAACATTTTTAAGATATCTAACTATTTTTTAAAACTAAAAGTGTAAAATTATTTACATATTTCACATAATTAAAAAAATTAATGAACTTATTAAGATTTTTAGTTGAGTATTGTGACTTTTATAATATTTATAATAAAAATAAAAAAAACTTGAAACAAATAAGATTTGTTTAACCAAATTTCTCTATAAATATTTTTAGATGATCAAAATAATAGAATTTTTTTATATAAATTAAAGTTAACTTTTGCAAAAATAAAAAATAAATGATAAAATTTATACAAATTAGTTCATGCATTAGTTAATTTGAAATTTGAAATTATGAGTTATAGGATAATTTTATTTCTCTTAGAAAAACTTGTGAAGAAACTCATCTAATAGCTTGTATATTAAATAGCAACATATATAAAATTATTTTACAAATCAAAATATTAACATGACATGCTAGATGAAATTGTGTCTATTAGAAGAATACTTACTCTTAAATTTATTGTCACATTAATTGCCTTTATAATGGAAGTTCTTATAAGGGCAAGAAATTATACATGAGTTGTATACTTTTTAAGTGAAAAATATTTTTCTCAATCTTTTTGTGATCCAAATTTATTTGGCAAATGAATTTACTTTGTAAAATTACAGTTTTCTTCACATGACTCTCTTTATCTTAAAATTGGGTTCCTAAACTGTAAAATAAGTGTAGACTTTTAAATTTTTTTTTAAATAAATAAATAATTTAAAATTTAAATATGGTTATGTAAATTTTAAATATATCATATTATTTTATTTATATTTATAAAAATAATGTTATATAATTAGTTTTGTTATAGTCCAAAGAAATTGTTATTTTATTTAATCTCAAATAGTATAAATCAAAGTTGTGATATTTTCTATAAACATTTTATCTATCTATAAAATAAAAATTAAAAATAAAATAATTACTATAAAATTACATTAAGGTGTTACAATTCACATTAAAAAAAACTCCAAGAATACAACTATATATATTTTAAATAATTGTTACTAACATGTCATTATAAACTTTCTTATTGTTAATATTTTCTTTTAGAAAAGATGAATAATAAAAAATATGTTGAAAATAATGTATTATTATTAAGATATATGTTTATATATTTTATAAATATAGGGGCACAAATATTTAATTATATTCAAAAGAAAAATAAATAAAGATAACAGTATAAATATAAACTGATTTTTTTATAAAAAAAAATCCATATTTCCTTAAGTTAGTGATGCATTTATGACATGTTTGTCTCTCTTTTTTTTCATTCTTTGCTCTTAAAAAATTATTTAACAAACAATTTCTCATTACGTTAGTTTTCAAAACTATATTGGAAACAATAATTTTAAAACCCAAGTTATTCTTTAATTTTATCATATATATATATATATATATATATATATATATATATAAGAAAGAAAAAGATTAAATATTTAATTTATTATTATCATTGTTTTTAATATCAATTTTAGTTTACATTATTAATAATTAATATATTATCTTTTATCATCTTATATTAAAATTTTGTTAAACCATTTAAAAAAAGTTAATCAAAGATAAAATTAACATAAAATTAACACATTAAATAATAATTAAGAAAAATAGTCACCAGTAATGTTCTTAAGATTCCTTTTATAAGTGATGTTTTAGAATGTAATAGAATAAGCCCTTAATAAGTTAATATAAAACATATCTTATATTTTACATTATATAAGATACAACATCAAATAATAAATAATTTGGGTTTTAAATATTACCCATTGGGTTAGTGGAAAAATGTAATATGGTTACTTTTAAAATCTGTTTTATTACGTAAAAAAAGTCAAGGAATAACAATAATCAATATGAATTTTAAAGGAATTAAAAATTAGTATGTATAAATTAATTCAAAACTGAAAAGATAATTATATAACAAGTTATAAGAAATATATATAAGTTTACAACACTCATTTCTTTAGAGATATTATAAAGTTTTTTAAACTATTAAAGAACACGAGTATAATCAAAAGATTTTTTTTATAATTTTCTATAAATAAACATATTAGGTGAAATTAAAAGAAATAAAAAATAAGAGAGATAAGTGTAATATGGTCTTATCAATTTGGTCCTTATGGTAAAGTAATTCTTAAAATGTTACAAATTTAATTTAATTAATTTATTTAAAATAAAGATTGTCCAATTAAACATACACGTGTCTCCCATATAATATGATTAAACCAAAAGTACTAACTACTAGTAGTTGCTAAAGGTTAGTAGTAATCAGAGTCATTTTCCAGTGAGGACGCACAGACTTGGAAACATCAAAATTGTTTACAATGATGGGGCATATAATTATAAAATCATTACTTTAAAAGAACTTATGAACATCTCTTCTTTTTCTGTTCTTTGGCTCAACCAAAGTGGCCGTTTGGGCCACATGCTGTCTGCAAAATGCTGCATGCAACCCAATTTCATCAGAAAAAAACTCTCCACTAACCATCCATCATTCTTGCTTTTCAATTATCTCCAATGTCATTAACGTACACCACTCTGGTGATCTCACAAGAAAATAAATAAATTGAATATGATGTTAACTTTACATCACTAAAAAAGATATCACACTCCTCATTCCACACATAAACCAACCAGCATTTTGTAAGTTGTATCAGCCAAGTACACCAAATTCAGAATTCTGAAGTATCTTCAAGTGGCCACAAACACACCAAGCATGATAGCAGTAATGTTTCTTCTCATTTTCTCATCTCTTGCCTCAAATTCGGAGCCATGTCACGTGGTGGACAAAGAAGCATTACTTGAATTCAAGAGCAGGATCATCTCTGACCCTTCAAAACTGCTAGATTCGTGGACACCTTCCTCTGACTGCTGCCACCATTGGGAAGGCATCGCATGTGGTTCCAATGGCAGGGTCATCAGCCTCACTAGAAACGGCGTGGTGTTCGACGTCGATGGCATCCCTCTAGAAACATACATGTCAGGAACATTGTCACCTTATCTTGGAAACTTGTCTAGTTTGCAAGGTTTGGACCTTAGCAATCTGAAGCAGTTGCATGGTCCAATACCTCCAGAACTGGCAAAGTTATCCCACTTGAGGATACTTTTTCTCTATTCAAATAAATTCTCAGGTGGCGTACCGGCATCTTTTGAAAAGCTTTCACGGCTTCAGAGTTTGTACCTCGATAACAACCAATTATTTGGTAATGTTCCTTTTTCTGTCTTCGCCTCCTTCAAGTCTCTTTCAGAACTTGGTCTATCTGGGAACAATCTTTCCGGGGGGATTCCTTCTTCCATTGGAAGCATGGCGTTTCTCACTAGGCTTGACCTTCATCAAAACAATTTTCATGGAAACATTCCTTCTAGCATTGGAAATCTTGTAAACCTCAAGAAATTGGATTTCTCTTATAATCAGATTAGTGGAAGAATCCCGGAGTCAATTGGGAGACTTTCACAATTGATTTTTCTAGATCTCATGCATAATAGTTTCTCAGGAAACCTCCCTTTTTCTATGGGAGATTTAAGTTCTCTAAAGTTTTGCAGTTTATCAGCGAACAAGCTCGTAGGCGTTTTGCCTTATTCCATTGGAAAACTCAGGAATGTGCAAAGGCTAATTCTTGAGAACAATAAACTCAGTGGGAAGTTACCTTCCACTATTGGCCATCTAACTAGTTTAACAGATTTATTTCTTGCAAACAATGAATTCAGTGGCAAAATTCCACCTTCCTTTGGCAATTTAATCAACCTGCAAACATTGGATTTGTCAAGAAACCAACTTTCGGGTCTACTTCCCCCACAACTTGCTAAACTACAGAGTTTGCAAACTTTAGACTTGTCATTCAACCCACTAGGACTTGTCAAAGTACCCAAGTGGATTTCCAAGCTGAGAGTTTTTCAGTTGAAATTGGCCAAGACGGGGATCAAAGGCCAACTTCCAAAGTGGCTTTCATGTTCATCAGTGTCAACCCTTGACTTGTCCAGCAATGCATTAACGGGGAATTTGCCATGGTGGATTGGAAACATGACTCGCCTTTCCTTCCTGAACCTGTCAAATAACGAGTTTCATTCGTCCATCCCATTGGCATTCAAGAATCTTTCTTCACTGATGGACCTTGACCTCCATTCCAATAAGCTCACAGGGTCTATGACAGTGGTGTTTGAGAAAGAAGTTCAATTTTCACTGGGCCATTTCAACTCCGTTGACCTATCTAACAACAAGTTTTGTGGTCCCATTGACGAGAACATTGGAGAGAAGGCCTCAATGAGTTCAATCATATCTCTTGCATTGTCACACAACCCATTGGGAGGATCTATACCAAAGTCAATTGGGAAACTGAGAGAATTGGAGATTCTAGACCTTGAAGACAGTGAACTCTCGGGGAATATACCTGAAGAGCTTGGTGATGCCGAAACGTTAACAAAGATTAATCTTTCAAAGAACAAATTAAGTGGCAACATACCAGAGAAGGTCCTAAATTTGAAGAAGCTTGAAGAGTTCGATGTGTCAAGGAACCAACTCAGAGGGAGGATCCCTCCACATAAGGCCATGTTTCCTATTTCAGCTTTTGTGGGTAATCGTGGACTGTGTGGACCACCACTTCCTCCTTGTAAACTTAGTTATAGATAAGCACACTATCAACATAATATTTTGTTTGAGAGGCAAATTTTTTCAATCATATATATAATTAGAGATTTTTATTCTTATGTTCATATGTATGAGGAAATAAGTAGTAAGAGCATATATGTGAAGAGATTGATTTTCAACTTGAATTGTAGAAGTTCTCGAAGAAAAATCATAAGTGGCCATCATAGCAGTTGTGACTGAGAATATTGTTTTCCTCTTCAAGTTAAATGGATTATGGATGTTGGAAAATTCCCACTATTTTGGTATTCTGGTAATAAAAATTTATCAGCATTACTTAAGATAATCAATTCACTATTTAGCAATATATTATCATATCTTAGTATGATGTATATTATTTTCTCTTATTCTATCGTTCAAAAAGTTTAACAAACTTATTTTTGTTCTTGTAAGTGTTTCCACAAACTCATAATCAATTCACTTGGTCTTATTTTCCATCTTGTATTGTAGATACTCAGCAAAACATCAGCACTGAGTGAATAAGAAAACAGAGATCACAAAATGGGATGGGTATGTTACAGTTTGTTAGTTAGTTAGTTAGGTTAGGTTTTTATATTCTGTTTATATCTTAGCTAGTTATTTATATATATATATATATATATATATATATATATATATATATAATATGTTGGTATATTATTCATGAGTTCAATAATATGAAGTATTTTTTTCTGCATAAGAATGCTGGTGCACTTTTTACTCTTTTTTCTCTACCATGAGTTTTAACATGGTATCAAAACTCCTTTCTTAGGAAGCTCCGCTGCGTATTAAACTCTGTTTACAAGCTTGGTAAGATGATTGGTTTCTTGAAGATTGGTTTTGAATCTTGAAGGTATTCTGTATTGTTCTTGTTTCAAGACATACAAAGATCTGCAATCTTGTTGCTTATTATTTTTTTTTTTCTTTTTTGTTAAATGGCAAGTCTCGTATTGGATCAATTGAATCCTTATTATTTGCCTAATAATGAAAATCCTGGTGTTTCTATTGTTCCTATCATTCTGAAAGGAGATAACTATCATGCTTGGTCTAGAGCTATGACAATGGCTTTAAGATCAAAGAATAAGTTGGAATTTGTTGATGGATCCTTACTTAAACCAGAAAATGGTGATGCTATGCTTCCTGCTTGGAACAAGTGTAATAACATGGTGTTGTCTTGGATCATGCATTCTTTGGATCTAGAAATTATTCAAAGTGTTCTTTGGATGGATACAACAATGGAATTATGGAATGATTTGCGTGATAGATATTATCAAGGTGATGTGTTCAGAATATCAGAATTACAAGAAGAAATTTATGCATTAAAACAAGGTGAGTTATCTGTCACTTGCATATTTTACTTTATTGAAGGGATTATGGCAAGAATTAGAAAATTTCAGACCCATACCAAAATGCACATGTCAAGTCGGATGTGAATGTCAGCTTATACCCATTATAAGAGCCTACAGAGAAGGAGATTATGTTATTAGATTCTTGAAAGGCCTTAATGAACAAGTACTCATCTGTTAGATCACAAATTATGCTCATGGATCCCTTACCAACAATGAGCAAAGTTTTTTCATTGTTAGTTCAGCAAGAAAGACAACTCAATATTACTAATGGTAATCAACATATTTTGGCCACTTACAAAGGTGGAACTGGAAGAGGAAATTTCAGAGAACGGAATTTCAAAGAGAATAATTCACAATTTGTTGGTGGAGGTCAAGGTGGAAAGAATCCAAAGATATGTTCTTTTTGTGGGAAAATTGGCCACACTATTGATACCTGTTATAAAAAACATGGTTATCCCCCACATCTCAAGAAGAATTTTGTTGTTAACAATTGTATGGCTAATTATGATATTGATAAAGATGATAAACAAAGCATGATATCTCAGAGGGAGATTGGAGAGAATTCAGATTTGAGTTTTACTCCAGACCAACACAAGGCCTTGTTAGCACTCCTTCAACAGTCTGAAATCCAGAACAATCACACAGTTAATCAGCTTATCTCCGTTACACAAGATTTTGATTCAAAACCATCAGGTATAATTTGTAACTTGTTCAATTCCAACTCCTGGATCATTGATACAGGAGCTACTGATCATGTGTGTAATTCCCTTACTAACTTTCAAACACACAGAAAAATCAAACCCATTCATATAAAATTACCTGATGGGAGTCAAGTTACTACCACTATGTCTGGAACAATTTTTTTTTCTAAATATTTTTACCTGACAGATGTTCTTTTCATTCCTACTTTCAAATTCAATCTTATTTCTGTGTCAAAGTTAACTAAAAACCTAACCTAACTAACTAACTAACAAACTGTAACATGGCAGTTTGTTATATGGAACCCCCACCAGGACTTACACTGCAGAACACGAATCTTGTTTGCAAGCTTACCAAGTCTATCTACGGTCTTAGACAAGCCAGCAGACAATGGAATGTTAAACTTACTGAGGTTCTTCTTTCTTTAAACTACTCTCAATCCAAAGCTGATTACTCATTGTTCACAAAAAGATCATCTAAAGGCTTCACAGCCATTCTCACTTATGTTGATGATTTGGTTCTAGCTGGTGAGGATTTAGATGAGATTAATAATGTCAAGCAAGTTCTTCACAGAGAGTTTGGTATTAAGGATCTTGGTCAGCTCAAATTTTTCTTAGGATTTGAAGTTGCAAGGTCTGCCAAAGGTATTTGCCTTTATCAAAGAAAATATGCTTTGGATTTACTTCAGGACACTGGCCTTCTAGCTTCCAAACCCTCTCCTACTCCCATGGATCCCACTAACCATCTTCACAAAAATTCTGGTCCCGCTTTTGAAGATGTTACTAAATACAGAAGATTGCTTGGTAGACTAATCTATTTAACC